CTGACGCGTCTGCCTCCGCGACCCGAAAGGAGAAGCGGCGATGGAAGATGAAGATGAAGATGAAGATGGATATTACCTTCGATGGAAACGACTGAGCTGAGAGCTATTAACTAGTTATCTTTCTCTATCCTTCTCTATTTACCAGCGGGTCAGCCGTGTATAATGCACTTTTGGGATTAAGAAAAATCGCGGCTTTCGTGGCTGCGTTTCAAACGAAAACTGTGTTGCACATAGCCCTTCTTTTTCTGCTTGTTCTGCTCTCTAAGATGTTTTAAACAACACGGGGCAGTTTTGGCTCTCCTATTCCTGATCCTAACCACGTTTTCCATTCAACAAATGATGTCATATTTTAAGTCTCAGAAGACTTCATCAACATGACCATTTCTCGAGTGAGTACTAAAATAACTCTCTGCCGACTTTTGCTAGGTCGAGCATGCCACTCGATTATATTTTAGCTTGTCAACATAGAAAAGCTAACGTGTTTCAACCAGGCAACGTTGACACGACATGACTAATTTTAGATGAAGTTCCGCGACGACCAGATGGTGATCAAGCCCCCAGCAGCCGAGTATCTAATAAGGACCTGCGCCATTGGCGGCTGATAGTGATGTGCTGAAGGGGATATTAAGGGACTGTAGGTATGCGTCACGGAATGTTCACACCGTTTAGTGGATTCGCTTATGAAGGAGTAGATTCACGCAAACGATTAAGTTGTTGAAGCGCAAAAGCTTAACAGACGTCTGCTGCTGTCATTTATGCTGACAGTAGCATGAGGGTCGAGTACGATTGACCATATGCTGTACTTACCGCCAACATTAAGATCGTCTGTGACAAATGTTGCATCGTGACGCGACTAAGCGTTAACCGCTGACTGCAAATAATCACAGAATGAGTCTATGTCGCTGCCACTTGATACATTTGTCAGAGTATAGGCGATAATGACATTTAGCGTCGCCTGTGTGACATTCACCTCACAGATTAGTATCCTTTCCGAACCTGCTACACAGAAAGGACCGCCCAATTAACCAATAGGGAGAATTCGCTGAGGCTTGATCACCTAAAAGATTGCCAATCTTGCGGGTTAAGTGCTATCTGGCCAGGAAGGCGGGCTTGCATGACCGCCAATAAGTCGAGTTTGTACAAGCGGGTCGTACAGCAGACATCCTTCACCATACCTTTGCCGGTTAAAGAATGAACGCTGAAGCATGCAACACATAATGTTTACTTACGGCAAGCAGGATTTCTTGATTCCAACTTATCAGGCAAGTTATGAGCGTAAATCTTTGGTAAACGCAATTCGTTTTGCTAGAGCATATTGTTTCATCGCCGCTATTTGGGAAATCAGCTCAACAACGTAAAA